GTGACTGGCAATGTAGCGGAGGGGGGCCTCCGTAATGGGGTTTGGGAGAGAAAGGCCGGCAAACTTGTATCGGAGGGAAGTGAGAGCTCGGGGAGGCAGCTCACTGGAATGAAGGTTCCATAAAGCGGGGAGGAGCTCAAAATCCAGGGCATTTTCCAAGGGAAGCCAAGAGTCTGAGGGGACACGACAGACGCGTTGCACAAATTGCCATTCCATTTGATATCGCAAACCAGACAGTTCCAATGAGAAGGGAAGAAGGACTAGCTAGTTAGTCTACACATGGGATGCAGAAACCTGCTGCAGACAGTGCCGGTAAGAGATTCGTGCTACGACTCAATCTTGCTTCGCCTGGCTTGTTTGACGTGCTGGTCTGACTGACTCGACTAAGACTGTTGCCTCCGACCTCCACTCCATTCACCCACATCACTACATCTGTCACTACAATAAAATCAAATACATAATTCCTATTGTTTTTTAAAATAATTCCCTTCACCACCAAAATCAGACAATTCAGCAGCCTCAGGGCAGCCGTTGTCGTCGCGCAACCACTGGATCACTTCACTGCGGTTATTTGTGTAGGCAGCTTGATATGTCCGTTCATCCCATGGACAACCATTTTCACGAGCCCACTTTAGAACTTCCAAATGTCCATTGTCAGCAGCCTCTTTACAGGTCCGTTCATCCCATGGACAACCATTTTCACGAGCCCACTGCAAAATGACCAAATGCCCCTTTCGAGCAGCACAACGGCATGTCCATGCATCCCATGGACAACCATTTTCACGAGCCCACTTCAAAATCACCAAACGGCCACTTTCAGCAGCAGAAGGCAGGTGTACTCATCCCATGGACCATCATTTGCATGCAGCCATCGGAGAATTTCCATATGTCCATTTTTCGCAGCAATCTAGCATGTCTCTGAATCCCATCAACAACCATTTTCTCGAGCCCACTTTAAAATTTCCAAATGTCCATTTTCAGCCGCCTCAGCACATGTTTGTTCATCCCATGGATAACCATTTTCACGAGCCCACTTTAGAATTTCCAAATGCCCACCGTTAGCAGCAGACTGGCATGTGTATGCATTCCACGGACAATCATTTTCATGAGCCCAACATACGCCCAATCATCCCACGGACAATCATTACATCTCAAGCTGGCCGCAGCTGATCCACGCCAGTTTACGGGTTCTTGCGAAGCTAGACGAGGCGCACATTTTATTTAGCAGCGGTGCAAGCTTAAAGGAAGATCTTTTGGATGATGGAATTGATGGATTGAAAACTATTATTAGCAATTCTTCAATCAGTCGATTGAATTGTACCGTACTCCCCGCCGTTATCGGCAAACTAGCTAGCTATACAGCATGTCACAAGGACAAATCTCCCAAACCATATAGATATCGGTGATCAGATTTCTCGACTGTGCCATCCTTCCGAAGCGGGACAAATGCATGATCTCCTCCCAGGAATTCCGTTTCATATCTATCCATGCATTGGTCACAAATTTCATGGTCAAAGCATTTCGTGCAGTGGTGACGGATCCCTTCAATTCGAATGCTGCATTTGCCACACATGTAATCCAGACGAAAAGATTCCAAAGTATGCTTTGCCTCCAGCTCTCTTCTACTGCGCGTATAACAGCTCTCGCAGACATTAAAGTCTTTGCATTCCGCGTCTGTACACTTGTAGCCCAGATTCCCAATGTCGTCTTCACAAAAATCACACCACATAGACTTTTCCTGGTTCCTGTATGTCTTGGCAAGTTCGTTCGAAGGAATGGAGAGCGTTTCGGAAAGTCCCCGACCGACTTCCTCTGGAGGGCTATTCAAGCCCCAACTTCGGTAGCTCTCGTTCTCGGCGTCAACTTCGTCTACCCCCATATACCGATGGAGTGCCTTATCCAGCCATCCAATCATGGTAAAACATCCGTTCCCGGTTGTGTAGACACAGTTTTCTTGATCAAAGCCAATTCTACCGCGCGGCTTTAGCTGAGACCGTAACAGTTGATTACGTCGGCTTCGCCTTGCCTCTATGGTTGGGACAATGCCCGCGAATTCCAACACGAGCTGGAGTGGCTTGTCCGTGAGATACTGGGAGAGCTTTTGCTTTTTTTTGGACTCGTCTTGCTCACCGTCGCTGCTAGCATGAGCAATGGTCTCGTTCGAAAGGCAGAGACCTTCCAGGGTGCGCTGCAGAACGTATTGCTGGGCCAAATGACAGCGTGCGGGAACCAAGGGAGCCGCGGCCGGATCCATGACAAAGAGGGCCACAAAATCTCGAGAGGCCTCGGACGTGGTAGATTGATTGATCATTTTCAAGACCCGATGGACCATCTGATAGTTGCTGAACACCAGCAGTGTTCCTTCTTCTTCAATTGGTACAGAACAATTGGCGTGGCGTGAATTGTCGTTGCCTCGCAGCATCTCTCGAACATTGGTGCTATTGAATTGGTTGATTCCGCCACTCGAGGCAAAGCTGGTTTTTACCATCATTGGCTTGCGATCCAGAAACTCCATATTCCCACCTCGTAGATCCTTGGCCACATGATAGTAAAACAATATCACGGCCGCCACGGGTTCATGTTGTCCATCAATATGCCAGAGGCCAATGTATTCTGAATTCTTTTCATCCGTAGAAGGTGGGAGGAAAATTCTCTGCGCCTTGACGGCAACTTGCAACCGTTGCTGTTCCAACAAGAGTTTGGGACGTTTCAATTTAGAAAGGAGTGGGAGGGCTGCTTGGAGCACTGGAGTTGCCACAGAGTCAATGAGATTGGTATCCATCCAATGTGCTCGATCTCCGCCAACCAGTTTCACTTTTGCTTCCGGCGTCACGTCGAATTCTGAGGGGACCCACTTTCCTTTTCGTTCGCATTGATTGGGATCAATAATCATTTGATATCGAGGAATTGGACGATCTTGTGTGGTCGCCGCAAGTTTGTCGAGTTTGGGTTTGACAGCTGGAATCAAATCTGGGCGTTGCACAGTCCATACATCCGAGTGTATTCCCCCATGTTGTTGTGGTTCTCCATGGGCTGCTTGGTGCGAATCAATGGTGGGGTTGATGCATTGGGGAATCTTTGTAAAATGAAGGTCCTGATCTGGGCTTTCGTGGTATTCCCACGAATTGACATCATCCTTGGTGTAGAGAACTGCACAAAACTGCCGCTTGTCATTGTTGTTGTTGCTGCTATCGCTGCTGTTGTCACATTCTTGCAAGTGAAGTTGCACCAGATGATCCGACGAGCTGCCGGCACTCGCTGTGGTTACAATGGCTGCATTGGCGAAAAAAGCGAATTCCGTGCAGCCGAGAAAGCCACCACGGACTTTGTATTCGCAAGAACTGTCTTGTTTCCAGTCCCAAAGATAGATTCCAGAGGAAAGAGGTCGGGTATCCCCCTCTTTCAGGCGTGGGGAATCTGTGGTCGCAGAAGTCTCTGTTTTCATTTCCGTGCATTGCTGATAGAAGGCATTCCCATACCGCGTTCGACTGTCCTTTTGCGGGGTATTGTCTCCAGGTTCATCCGCAATGCCAAATATTCCATTGCTTGCAAGAAACTGTTTCCTCTCTTTAACCCTTTGCTTGGCTGTCTGCTTTGTCCTAGCCATCGAATACCATGCAATGGAATACAGAATATTCTACAATACCGAGCTCTATGTTACCGAGCTCTACGGCTGTATGTTTACGAGCAGCTTCGATTTTTCTGATTCAAACGCGTGCCGGCTTTTCTGGTACACTTCTACGAGTGCTAGTGTAGAAATGTACGAAGAAGGTCGGCTCGCGTTTGAATCAATAGAAACGAAGCTGCCTGTACGGGCAAGGAGTGGGACGGGGCCCAAGATCTACCGGTACAGGCTGTATCGAAGCTATTGACGCAAACGCAAGCACGGTCCCGCTGGGACATTGGAATGGGAACTACGCCATCAGGACTAAAAGCGTTAATGTACTCAGAAAAGACTTAAAGGATTACATCCCTTGCTCCCAGCCACTCGTATCTTCATTATTTCGATCAATCAATCTATTGATCAATCAAGATGATGCTATCTCCTCTTCTCTACAGCGGCTACTCCTCTTTCATGGCCACCGGTACTACCACTCCACCATGATGTGATCCTCTTGGTTAGCTCGCTGCAGCGGCAGCCGTTTGACGGATCGATTCGATTCGGTCGACCGATAACTTCTTTCTTCTTCCACGGAGTGACCTCTTTCTTCTACCACGGAGCGACGATGACACGGAGCGATCTGTCGCAGCGACCATGACGCCTCCTCTTCCAAGGAGCCAAGGATGCAACACACGGCAGGAGCTGCTTCCGTTCGACGGATCGACGCGAAGACGGATCGATTGATGATTGCAGACTTCCACGGATCGATGACTTCTTCTTCCACGGAGGAACCATGACACCACATCTTCCACGGAGCGTCCGTGAAGCCTCTGCAATTGATACTACAAAAGCAACAAGCGGCATCTACTCTACTACTTCTTTGGCTTGTGAACTGGTTGACCGACAACAAGCGTCAAACCTGCTGCATTTTCACCAACCTCAAGTCAACAATTCTCCTTTGAATCTTTGGGATGGGTGCTCCAGTCTTCATGCAAAGCAACCCATCCATTTACAGGACTCTACAGTGCAGATTGAGTGCTGAGAGTGAAGACCGGATGACCTTTCCCAGGAGAAATCCATGGCAGAATGACAACAAAATACAATCCAAGCCTAATTTTTCCTAGAAGCTCCATAGGAAACCTTGGAGATAGCAAATCATTTTTTTGAGGGGTGACTCTGTTAGTGTGTTGGGGAGATGCTCCTAGAAAAGGATTTGCTATCTCAATGTGTTGGTAAAGCTAATAGCCATTTGGTCAACACTGTTGCCATGGTGATAAAATTCAATTTTATTTCTTCATCTTTACTTTGTTTGGATCCAGTCTTTTCAATGCAGGATTCGAAAAATGACCACTTATGTTAGAAATGACCGCTTTCGATTTTGGTTTGGACAAAACGATTTTGGAAATGTCAAATGAATCTGAACCGGAGGGCCAGTCCGTACTAGTCTACTGCTAGCTCTACCTGATAGCCGAGTCGTGTGAATTTGGTGCCATTTCCATGGTGCAGTGCTCCTTCAGGAGAATGGCACCTTCCACGTCAGTTGAAATTGTTTTTTAAAAGTCCTTAGAAGAACCTAGTGTTCTTCGGTATTTAACGAGTAGCCAAAATTTAACCAGTGAGAGACTCAAAGACTTAATGCAAATGTACCAAGTGTGTCTTTTGTGCCTGGACCGTTGTGGAAATATTGAATCGTGGGTAAGCCTGTTGGAGAATTAATACGTCTCCTATAGGAGACGTAGGAGATTTAAGAGACGTGGTTTCGAAATAAGAGACATCTCCTATTTAAAGGAGACGTCTCCTAAGCAATTAGGAGACTTAACCGTGATAATTACGCGTTATCTAAGGCGCGAGTAAGAGACGTCTCTTCATAAGAGACGTCTCTTCATAAATAAGAGACGTCTCCTATTTATAGGAGACGTTAAGTTGCTTATAGGAGACGTGCACATCTCCTATTAGTGACTTAGGAGACTAATCCACGACTGAATTATCGCTTCCATAGAGGTCCAGGACGCAGAGAAACCAGCCTGTACAAAAATGAAATTTTACTTTTATGTTAAAATATTAAAAGTAAAAATTGAAAAGCCTTGTTATTAAGAATCTCCATGGCATGTTGAGTGAGGACTCGTGTACAGTACCAGTACTGGTACCAATACTACATGCTGGTGATGGTGGTAGTGCTGCTGCTGCTGCTGCTGCTGATCTATTGCTACTAGCTAGCTATCAATGACTGAGTTACAAGTAGGTTTTATCTACTACAGAGTAATCATTAAAATTCTACTAACACCAAATTAATTGTATTGCTCTAGCTAGAGCTCGATTCAAGGAAGCAATACCATCTTGTTTGACTGACTTAGATCATCATCTTGTTTGACTGACTTGGACGAATCTCACAGAGCTCAGCTGTTGGAAAAGAGGTGGGGGGAGGCAGGTGCCACTGCAGTGATTCAAGTGCTGCAAAAGCTTGAAAACTAAGTGTAACTCATTGTAAACAGTGTTGCCGTTGCTCTGTTGTCTCTGTAGAGTTGTTTACAATACAAAGCTAGTTGAAATGACGACCACGTTAGTCGTCCTCCAATGTTCTACGCCAGTTACATCAGTTGCTCGCCAGTTACGTCAGTTACTCTACGCTAGTTACGCTAGTTACGTCAGTTACTCTAGTTACGCTAGTTGAAGTGCCCCTAATTTTGGTGCAGTGCGGTGCGAGGACGGTGCAGGAGAACTGCACCGGCACCAAATCATGGCACCAAATTCAACTGACCCCTCTAGCTAGTACCGTACCTATGGTTTTATTAAATGGTGTCATCCAAAAAAAATTGTTGCTCTTTCTTTGCGGCAATGGCTTCCTTTGACTGTCAGGGCTACACTACATGTACTGAAGGCCGATTAGATGGTTCACCAACTACAAATACCCATTCCAGCATCGCCAAGTGGTCACTTTGAGTTGAGTTGGCTATCATGTTAATGTACTTTTCAATAAGTTTCTTGAAGGTTCAGTTCCAATATCCAAGTAGTGGACTGGGGCTCGCTGAAACCCTTCCTCAGGAACAGCGGTAGTCAGGCAGGTTGGGAGCCTTGTCGTGCCTCAGGAGTATTCCAACACCTCCAGTAGGCACCAAACCAAGGACTTGGCCCTGTCAGTCAGACAGGAGGGCCAGCAGAGCTCTCTGCTGGGTGGCCCTTTTGGGCCAGCTCTCCTCAGGAGCTGGGGGCCTTCGTTATTCATATCGTTGCAGTGGCAGTCTGGAACAGTACTATCTGCTATACCTCCTACTGCTTTTCGCCGCCTCAACAGGATTGGTATCAACTGCTGCGGTACACAAAGGGGCTACAAGCTAATCAGGATTTCGGTCTCAATCTATTCGTACTATTTTCTTAAACTATGGTGAGAAAGGACTTTCTTTCTTGCTGGCTTTGCTGGAGATAAGCCAACTGTCGCAATTGGCGGAGCTGTAGGCAACATAGCTGTTGGATATCTCTGACGGGATCCAGTAGCTCTC